TAAGTGACAGAGGGTGGTGGTGGGGGATTGTTTTCAGACTGAAGGCCTGTGACCAGTGGTGTTTCTGCAGAGGTCAGTACTGGGTCTAATGTTTTTATCATTTATATAAATGATTTGGATAAGAATTTAAGAGACATAGTTAATAAGTTTGAGGATGACAGCATAATTTGCAGTGTAGTCAATAGTGGACAAGGTTATATAAGATTTCAAAGGGATCTTGATCAATTGGGCCAATGGGCTGAGGAGTTGCAGATGGAGTTTAATTTGGATATATACAAGGTTTTTGCATTTTTGTAAAAAAATCAAGGCAGGACTTATACAGTTAATGGTTTGACCCTGGGTAGTGTTGTTGAACAGAGAGACCTAAGGGTTCAAGTACATAGTTCTTACAAAGTTACATCACAGGTAGATAGGGTGGTTAAGAAGACATTTGGCATGCTTACCTTCATTGCTCGGACTATTGAGCATAGGAGTTGGGATATCATATTGAGATTGTACAGGTTATTGGTGATGCCACTTTTGGAAAACTGTATATAGTTCTGGTCGCCCTGCTATAGGAAGAATATTATTAAATTGGATCGGGCGCAGAAAAGATTTACCAGGATGTTGCCTGGGCTGGAAGGTTTGAGTTATACGGACAGCCTGGATAGGCTGGGACTATTTTTACTGGAGCATAGGAGCTTCGGGGGTGATTTTATACAGGTTTATAAAAACATGAGGGGCATAGATAAGGTGAATAGCAAGGTTCTTTTCGCTAGGGTGGGGGAGTTCAAAATAGGGGGCATATTTTTAAAGTGAGAGGAAAAAGACTTAAAAGGGACCTCAGGGGCAACTTTTTCACACGGAGGGTGTTTTGTATGTGGAATGAACTGACGGAGGGAGTGGTAGATGGAGTTACGTAACAATATTTAAAAGACATTTGGACAGGTACATGAATAGGAATGATTCACAGGGATATGGGCCAAACACAGGCAAATGGGACTAGTTTAGTTTGGGAAACTTGGTTGGCATTGATGGATTAGTCTCAAGGGTCTGTTTCCATGCCGTATGACTCTAAATGACAGGAAAGAACAGTCATGGATTCGTTTCAGCAGTTTCAATGGATCTCTTAATTAGAATTTAAAAATTGAATAAATGGATAAATGTTTTAAATTATTACAAGTATAAACAATCGTGCTCATGATTGCAATAAGCTTGGCTAAATTGAGATGAAAAATGCATTGTTTAGCTGTCATACAACTCTGAAATTAGTATTAAGAAAGATGGAAGTTCTTTATCATTCATTACAATTATTATTTAGCCTAAACATTATTAAGTGTACAAAATGTTTTCAGTGTTTTTGCCTTAGAATAGATTTAAGAATGTGTTGAGTCATATAGTTTTGTCATTATGCTGATTTCTTTCATACATTTGAATCATACGTAAATGTGTCATTTGAAGAGCACTGTTCCCCAAGAAGTTGATTCATCCAATTTGTTAGTTTCAGATGCTAAATGCACCATGAACATTCTTAACACTCACTGTTCTTCAGTGAACATGGTGAGAAAGTCAACATCAGCTATTCCCTATAATCCAACTTTATTTCTTTGGCTAATAGCCTGATAAGTTGATAGTTTTATTGTGTATTTTAGATGATAATGAGAAAGAAAAAAGATATTATAAACTCCATAGGTTAGTTTTTGCTTCATAATTAATTGGTATAACATCAGCAGAGTGAATCCTGTTTATTTCAAGTACCTTGGTAACACCTCCAGTTTCTAGGCCTAGATGCATCATGCTGTGATGTGGCGAAGTCATGCTCCAAGGAACTGCTTGCGATGGTTCTACATTACAGACTGCTACATTCTTCAATTCATGACTTGTGGCAGTGCAACATGGCACCACTTTTGGTCAATTGGTTTTAAGATGATTTGTAAATAACTGAATAAACTGAGAAATTCCGGAAAAAGTTACTTTCATACCGGTCTGCCTGCCTGCCCATGAGCCCACCTCACCCTGTTAGATTGCCTCATGGATGTCCGCAAGGAGTGAAATCGTGCTACAATTTCCTATATCTCCATTCTTAGTGCAGCCTGGTAAATTCTATAGCACCCTCCAAGTGTATTTTCGAAAGGGGCACATAAAATTAAACGGATGCCTTTCTGCTATTCCCAACCTGTCGCCTATTTTGTAGAGGGGAGGATGAGTAAAGTATCAACCAGTCTACTTGTTCTTAGGCCTATTGGGCTCTTAGCTGCCCAATTAATGGCAACTCAAGAATCTCATTTTGCTTCTGCCACAACGAGGCTGAGGAAGATGGGAAAATGGCAGCCAACCTGATAGGTTTCACTGCATAGGTAAAGGTAGGCAGTTGAGTGTTTTCCTCCAATTGTACCTGAATAAAAAACAAGTTAAGTAAGTTGGAAACCTACGACGTCTCAGACTCCAACGTAGAGTTGGGAATGCTATCAGAGAGTTCTAGATGCTAGGTGATTGCCCATTTTAAGTTTAAACTGTTCAGGTGATTATTGCATAATCATTGCGTCAGGACTTCTGATAAATCCCACCATGCATTTTTTACAAGGTATGTCAGATTCGGACTAGCTGGAGATCGGAAATTCTGTGCATAAAATGTTCAACAATTGTAGTTAAATTTTTCAACCAGAGGGTGGTGGTCTTTTGCCAATTTTAATGTTTAAATTAAAAATGCCATAAAAGCAACATTGCACAATGTGGCATAATTAACAGATGATTATTATGTCTGTAATTTCTAATGAACTTTACAAATCAGCAATAGCACCTAAATTTGTTTCATAAAATATTTTGAGGTGCGTTAATCTTGGTTCTGTTTAAAAAATACAGGAATAGGCCATCCAGCCCCTTTAGTTCTTTCCGCTACTAAATAAAACAAAGGCTGAACTCACGACCTTATTCTATTGATCACTTAAGTACTTGAAATTTTACATAGAAAATGTTTGAAATTATAATATTTGAAATGCTTGTTGTGTGACATTTGTTTCAGAATCATAAATGGGTTATTCAGTGAATGCTTTCCAAAAATTGCATTCCAAATCTACACTGTGCCAGTCAAAAATATCACTTGTCAGTTGATAAGCAGGCTCTGGCAAATGTGCCAGAAACAGGTTGCTATTCAATTTTCCTAGTACAGTAACTAGTGGTATGTAAAATAATAGTAAAAGGTGAGAAGCAAGTTCTAAAATAATTAGTCGGTGCAAGATATTTTTTAAAAATGCATAGAAAATATACAAATTCATTTTGTAATTTAATGCAAAATTATAGATAGGTGTAATATGTATAGCATCTAGATAATTCATGTTTACTTTGTCCTTTCGAAAAAAAATATATCCATCTTTCCTGCTTTTAAATTCCTATACAACCAATAATTAACTCAAGGGGCAAGTGAATCATGTTTCCAGCAAAGTTTCTTCGAGAACTTGTCCTGCCTTTGCAATTCTCCATCAGATAGCTTTCCATTTTCTGATGCTATCATTGAGCTGAAAAGTTGGTATTCAGAACAAATTGGTGAACCAGAGATGCTCAAAACAGAAGAAAAGGAAGAGTCATGTGCCTTTTAGAAAATATCCATACCGCTACGGCTGCTGCTTTGATGGCTGTGTCAATGTAACTTAAATCTTAAGTCAGGTCCCTGAACTGAAATTGGCAATATTTTGTTTCCCCTCAGGACAAATGTAAGATTTGATACCAGCTTACACTAGGGCTGCCAGATATCCCAGTTTTTCATTAAATGTTGCCCTAGTTTTCACCTTTTTTTTGTCAAATATAAACTGGGTCCAAGGGGAGAAAATTTGTGTAAAGTATCATCTTTCTTTCTGTGAACATCCACCATATTGCATTTCATGTGGCTGACCTGTATCTCTCTCACATCCCCAAGTCTCTAAAGAAGCTCCAAAGGGTCTTTCTGACACCATGGCTCCATTATTGATTGTTCCTTTTTAAATGAACTACAGAATAGGGTTCCCAAACTCTAGCCTGACATATTTTGGCCAATGCCTTCACATGACCTCCCATTTCAACTTCCCTTCCTGATACTGTTTCTTTGGCCAACACGTCAATCATCACCCTGAAGGATAAACCAATAAAACTTGTGACTTACAAACATGGATCTAATTTGTCTTGAATACTTCAAAATGGAGCTCCAACATGACCAGAGTATTCATTTCCATGCCTCTTTTTGACTTCTGAAGAAGTTGTATCTGACTTGAAATGTTAACTTTCTTTTTCTCTGCCTGGCCTACTGAGTTTCTCCAGCATAGCATTTTTTTTTAATTGCAGATTTCCAACGTCTGCATTATTTTGCTTTTATTACTTTTTCTTGTTCCCCCCTAAGGGAGCCCTGCCATCCCATGGCTTTTCAAGTGTTTTAACTTGTGTAAAGTTTATGATCACCCTAGATCACACTGAACTATTTTACTATCACACTAAATCTAGTTCCTACCACTGCTTGTCTAGGAAGTTTGATCACAATCTGTGGTAGGCAAACAGCAGGCTGGAAGAACACAGCAAGCCAGGCAGCATCTGGAGGAAAGGAGAAGTCAACGTTTTGGATATTGCCCTTCTTCAGGACTGGATGTGGGGGTAGGGGAGAGCTGCAGATAAAGGGAGGAGGTGGGGTTGTGGAATGGTGGTGACCATCATAATCTGTGTTGAGTGAGCTGACTGTAACTGCATTTGGCTGCTCAGCAACCCTTCACGGGCGTTAGAGATAAAAAGATTCTTGTCCACGCAATTAGCCTCACGTCATCTGGTTCCCCGGGCCCTCGACTGAACATTATTTCTGCATTAACACAGTGTAGCGCGTTTTTGTTTTCGTCTCAATTTGCCCACAGGGCATAAACCGGGCGAGCTGCACGTCACCATCTCTCAGGTAGACCAACACCTTGCGGCACAACCACACCCCCAACCCCCAGAGGGTGACCCGGAAGAAAAGCTGTCGGTAGTTACCATAGCGACAATTGTTTAGGTTTCCGCCGGTGCCTTAAAAACATTAGAGGATCCCCACATGTTCCAAATGTGAGCCGAGGTGCTGTGTCTCCTGCAAGCTCAGTGCGTGTTTGCTGGAAGGGTGAGTGTGGAAATGCCAACGCTGGGGTTTATGAGAGTTTTGCTGAGTTAACCCGGTGTTTGCAGGAGAGTGGGGTGCAGCATGGTGCTGGGATGGTGATATTCGCCTGTGTGTTTCAGTGGGGCAGACCTGCCAGTACCCCAGAAGAAGACTGGCACACTGAGAATACTGTGCCACGTACTGTAACCCAGTTCAGCCTGCACTTCTTTTGTAAAGGGTGATCAGGATACAGCCCCATAGGCTTAGCTGTCCCTCCCTCCTTCCCATGGGGTTGTAAATGCTGTCAAAATGTACACCAATTGTCCGTTCAAACAAGGTAAAACGGCGGAAGAGGGCGCAAGCCACTGACCACAGTTGTGTACTTCCAGCATTTTTTTCAATACCATGTTCTGATTGCCATTTTCTGAGTCATACTACATTCGAATGTAGCTCTCCACTGGGAGAGTAATTGCATCTGTTCATTTCCCCAACAATGTCTTAGCATCAGGCGTTGTCGCAAATTAAATCACAGTGTTCTTCCTTTAATCGTCTCTTGCTGATTCCCTATTTAGTTTCAGTTCTGTTGGCTTCCGTTCCATTATTTTCGTTTCCTTGGTTGTCATATACTTTTCTCATTGTAATAAGTGAACCAAGCTGACCACCTCTCGGTTTTTCAATCACCGAAATTGCTGGAGTAAAAACTCCGCAGGTCTGGCAGCATCTGTGGAGAGAAAATAAAGTTCAGCAGGGTAGGGTTCCCGTCGCTCCTCTGAGGTTCCTGTTGTGCATTTTTATTCATCCAGATCTAGATCCAAATTCGTGATTGTATTTTACTTATCCGAATGTCTTTTAGATATTGTCACTGTACCTTCGACTGCTTCTTCCTCTGGCAGTTCATTCCACACACGAACCACTCTGTGTAAAAACAGTTGCCCCTCATGTCCCTTTTAAAATGTTCTCCTCTCACCTTACAAGTATGTCCCCTGGTTTTGAACTCCCCTACTCTGGGGGAAAAGACCTTTGCTATTCACCTTATCTATACCCTTCATGATTTTATAGTCCTCCATGAGGTCAACTCTTAACCTCCTATGGTCCAGTGAAAAAAGTCCCAGCCTATTTTTACAACTCAAACCCTCCATTCCTGGCAAAGTCCTTGTAAATCTTTCCAATTTAATAATATCCTTCCTATAGCAGGGCGACCAGAATTGCACACAGTACTCCAGGAGAGGCATCACCTGCGTACTGTACAATCTCAACATGATGTCCCAACTCCTTTGAGCCTGATGTCAGTGGTAGGCAAGTTATTGGAGAGGACACTGAGGGATAGGATCAACCAACGTTGGGATAGGATCAAACAACTTTTGGATAGGCAAGGTCTGATTAGGGATAGTCAGTATGGATTTGTGTGCGGCAAGTCATGTCTGACAAATCTTTTAGAGTTTTTCAAAGAGATACCCAAGAGGATAAATGAGGTTAGGGCAGTGGATGTTGTCTATATGGACTTTGGTAAGGCCTTTGACAAGATCCCGCATGGCAAGCTAGTCATGAAGGTTAGGTCGCATGGGATCCAGGGAGAGCTTGCTAATTGGATTCAAAATTGGTTCAATGGTAGGAAGCAGAGGGTGATGGTAGAAGGTTGTTTCTCAGACTGGAGGCCTGTGGCTCATGGTGTGACACAGGGGTCAGTGCTGGGACCTTTGCTATTTGTTATTTACATAAATGATCTGGATGTGAATGTACAAGGCGTGATTAGTAAGTTTGCAGATGACACAAAATTAGGAGATATCATTGACAGTGGGACAAGCTATCAAAAATTACAGAGGGATCTTGATCTGATGGGGAAGTGGGCTGAGGATTGGCAAATGCAATTCAATACATAAAGGTCTGAGGTGGTAGGAACTGCAGATGCTGGAGAATCTGAGATAACAAGGTGTAGAGCTGGATGAACACAGCAGGCCAAGCAGCATCAGAGGAGCAGGAAGGCTGACGTTTCGGGCCTAGACCCTTCTTCACAA